GGTCGGTTTCCACACCATTCTGTCCGGCTCATCCACAAAATTTAGCTCTAAACTCCGCAGCTGATCCACTCTTTGCTTTCCTAGTAGACCTGCAAAAACTATCAAGAAAAATCTTTAGAAAGAAAAATTCTTTTACAGTTAAGTCCGATGTTGAAGGATCAGCTGAATCCGTCCACAGTATTCCAGGTTCGAGCCATTTATGATGCCCAAAGGAAGCTGAGCCATCACAAATAACCAAGATACTCTTCTCAGATTCAAGATGTGAAACCTTCTTGAATCTGGACCAGCTAGTTTTTTCCTTTGATGTAGCTGAAAGAGAACGAATGAATTGTCCCCAAATTCCTTGATTGATCTTCATTTTCCACCATAATTTTATAGAAAAAGCTCTAGTGACATCCGATAAATGCCGGATACCTAACCTGTTTTCAGCAACGAGAAAGGTCAATTTATGCCATGATCTCCAATGACGTTTATTTCCATATTCAATTTCTCTCCAAAGAAAGTTTAGGCATTTTCTTTCAATACTCTTAATGATAGATTTTGGAGGAACAATAGCTGCTATTGTGTGGATTGGAATCGCGGAGAGCACATGTTTGATAAGTAGAAGCCTTCCTCCTTGCGAGAGAAAATTGTTTTTCCAACTTGACAACTTGGCGTTAATGGCTTCGAGAATGTTTAAGAATTTTTATTTTTTTTTGTATGATTACAAAATAAATAATTATAATATAATTAATCAACAATTGTCTATGCGACTTTTACAAATTGTGATATGGTAGATTCAAGTTTTCTTGCGGCTGATAGTAGAGAGGGACATGAAAGTAGCAGTGATCCTTTCTATCATGTTGATGATGATTCTGTTCATAAAATCAAGACAATTAGGAAGACTATTCCAATTTTTGCTGCAGCTAGAGGAGATACTTGGCAATGTGATTACTTGACTCGTGAGTTGCAGCAACATTCTCGTCTTTTTGCAAGTGTAAGACAAATGGCTCTTTTCTTGAGTCGTTGTATCGATTGAGCCATTGGAGGCATGGCCGCAGCTCAAGGCATTGATTAGAAGCCAAGGTAGTAGTTTCTGGTGATACTAATAGACACCCAAATGGTTATGCTGTTTATGGAAATGAAGATATTAGGAGGGTTGGAACCTATTTTGCTATGAGGAGTGGTGCTGATTGGGCTAGAGAGATGATTAGGGAAAAGTATCGTCCATATATGGACACTGATTTTGCTGGTGAATTAATGTGCAATGACATTTACAAAGCAACATCTGAGGACTCGGCTACGGGTGGAACATTACATACTAAATATGTGTCGGAAGTTGAATTCAACGACCACTTTCTAAATACATTTGTTTATCGTTGCACTACTCCTTATGTTTTGTTCTAAATTGTTTCTGGAATTCCGTCTCTGTTACGTTATTGTCTATAGTGTAGATCTGTGGATATTTAGCTTTTGTTGAAAAATCGCGGACCTTTTCTATGTAATAATTAATTATGGTAGTGGATACGCAACTTTCATCGAAGAACAGGGGATGACTACTATTAATTATGATGCTTTTTTTTTAAAAAAAATTATAATATAATTAATTAAATTAATTATGTACAAAGAATTTAATTTTAGGCAGGAAAATATTTAATGAGAAGTTGTCCTTTATCCGTAGTGACATTTGTTTTTCTATAAGCTAATATAAAAGCCACGCTTGGTATATAATTTCTTGCAATCTAATTGGTCGGGCGGTAGTCACATGACATCATCCTTGCATTATGGTTACATCAATTTTTAATAGGGGTCAAAAGTGTCTTTTACTAATTAGACATTAGCTTAAAAACAAATTTCTGCTAAAACCCCCCATTTTCAAAATGACGTCGTTTTTAGACACCACGTAAAAAAAAAAAATGCTCAAATAACAAAGAAGAAAACTCGCCTCACGTCCTTAAAACATATCTACTCTTTGCCGCCGACGACCTCCCCCAGATTCCCAATCCGTCTCACACAAAAATTCTCCATGCGGCGTTGACATCTCCTTCTGCTGCCGTCCAATCTCTCTGCCTCTTCCCTCTCCAAATTTACAAACCCATTCCCTGATGCCGAATCCTAAATCTTCGAATCCTTACTTCGAATCTGCCTCTGAAGCTTCTCAAACATCCTCAAATCTCCAATTTCAGCCAGGAGCTCTGTTGCTTCCAAACTGTCACTTTTTTCCAGGTTAGATAATTGTAGGATAATCCCTCTTTTTTTCATCTTATATTCTTCGTGGATGGTCGAAATCTGATTTTGAATTATGGTTTTCCTTTGGTGTTTAGGCTGTGATCAATAATTTTGACAATGCCCATGAATTGATCGCACGGCAATCTCAACGCCGTTCAAGGAGAGTAAGCCGGTTTACATTAGCATGAGCTGTAACCTGCCCGCAATTCCGCATCCGACATTCAGTCGGGAACCAATTACATTCTCTCTCTCCTAGGTGAGATTCTATCTCGATTTTTTTTTTATGCAATATAATATTTGGTTCTTAGTAAGTTTTCTGTCAATCGTCCAAGCCCAGGGTATAGTTTAGAGTTAGTTTTAACTTATTCTCCCAGGCATTACATTAGACAATCAGTTTTGTTGCATACATTTGATTCAATTACAGGTTCCTGGTGGACCTTTTTTTGGTGATTATTTAAGAATTATCCCTTTGATGTATGAAAGGAAACAATTAGGTTAAGCAATTGGCAGCTGTCCCTCTTAGGATTTTATGAAAGCAATCGCCAATTGTTGGTGAATACTGCTGATTTATAGCAGAGATTTTAGTGTACAGTTTCTTTAGGTTAATTGCTTCCCCCGCCATTTGTTTTTTAAGTTGTTTATTTGTAGTATTTCATGAAAGGCAAACTATAAGTGGAATTACATTTGTACATTAATAGAATTATAGCTTTCAAAAATTACCCGAATATAAGGGCTTATCTATTTGAGGTGATTGAGCATAACTTTCTCGGTTTTACTTTACCTCTACTTTCTGAAAATTCAAAGCCTTTGCACATTTTGGATTGATTAGTCATTCTATTTGTTTTGCATATTATTTTAGTTAAGATTCAATGAGAATGATTGGAGTTTTTATAAGAGGTGGACACGATCGGGGAGTTGTTGTAGCTAACCGATACAATGAGGCAAGCTGTAGTTTTCATGGTAGACACCCTTGGAAACACTGCAAGTTGAACTATTTTGTTCATTTTTAGATCTATCTCTTGTGCTTCGATCTGGTTAAATTTGGATTTTTGTTTTAATTCCTGTAATTGTTGATTACATTGGGTTAGTTTCATGGATACATATTATTCTGAATTTTCGAATACGATACGAAGCAAACCAATAAATTCGATAAAAATCATTATTTCTTCATCAATACAAAGCTCTCAACAAACATAAAAAAAAAAGAAATAGAAAGAAAATCAAAACAAATACGTTACACCTGTAGAAACTATGATCAATAATAGAAGACCATTTTATCTGTGTCGAAAGAACTAACTTAACTATTCTCTTCAAAATCAGGGAACAGCCTGTTCGATCAGCGGAAATCAGCTCAATTATGCACGGAAGGTAAACTTCGCTTTTCTTTTTTCTGTTATGTTTCTCATTGCATTTATTTCCAGATAATCTTCTTTCACCTGTCAGAATGAAATTAAATTAATAACCTATCAGACACCCTTGAGATAACCAAGAGCTCGTAATGCGTATTCTTCTCTTTCTTATACCAATTACCAGGAAGCCATTACCAGACTTTTTTTCCTTCGCAATTATTACATCTTTTACACAAAAAAAAATGTCAAGGGTGGACCTTTTAAGTGAACATCTTCATGCGGGTGTTTCATGTTTTGGGAAGCACCTTTACTTTAATTGATATAATATTTTCAGAAGTTGGTATGCTTCAGATTAACCAGACTGACGTGTTTTTGCTGATTCTAAAAGGTCTTTATTTTTTTCTTTTTAATTTTATTTTGTTGATCATTGAAGACTCTGGCTAAAACTAGCATTAATTTTATCTTATTCTTGAAGTGACGTCTTCTCTTGTTTCATTTATATTTTGTTAATGATATGTTATGCAAACTGCAAATTTGTTAGCTTCCTTGGGTAATGAGTTCTTTGCTTTAATCATTTGTTACTTGAACTTTGGCATCCATGATTTTGGTATCATGTGAGTGAAAGTGGTTAGACTCACTAACAGATTTATTCCTTAGTGTTACTCCAGACTAATCAAAACCCTCCCCGTAAGTTGTCATTAAACTGATAGAATAAGTGTTTATAGTGGAGAGGAAACCTATTGATATGGAGAATTGATATTGTTGGCCTTTGATTATGGTTCAGAATAATGCTCAAAGTAATTTTAATGAGTTTCAAAGAATTACATAGTTTTGACAAAACCCAAATTAGTCTGTGATTATGTTTGGGATACTGTATGTGTGTTTAAAATATCGCTCTTAAATTGTAATTTTATGACTATATAGTCTCTAGGAACTAGAGGATTTGGGTTATGTTTGCGTTGGGGAAGGAATGGCAGTCCCAAGAGTGGCTGTAAAAAAGATGATGTTGTATTTCCATTTCCGAGAATGAACAAATTGTTGAATTTGAAAGTTTTCTATTGACTTTGTTAGCTAACATAATGGCCATCATATCTTCCAATTTTCATTGATCAAATTCTCTTGGTCACTGTTTGCAATATTTAAACTACTATCTAGATTCCTATGTATGTTTCAGTCTACAACCATCTCCATTGTTTCAAGAATTTCAACTTTATAATGGTGCAGAACTAAGGATGATGGATGCACTCGAAAAAGTTGAAAAACCAAGAACCCTCCTCTATGAAAAGACACAAAAAAAAAAAAAAGAATCGCTCCTCTCATGGCTGAGTTTGATTAGGTCAATCAGGAGTAAGTACTTAAAATACTGGGTGTCATGTTGATTTCAATTGAATTCTTTTGCTAATATTGTACTGATTCATCGATCGCAGAAGATTATTGCTGTAAATGGGCAATACCATATTGGAATTTACACTGTATGCCCAATTGAATACGGCGAGGAGATTACTTCGATTACTTCAGTTCTCTGGAATGCTTTTGTTCTTCGATTATACTCTTGGTCTTCGAGATAATGTTGTACAGATAGGCGTCTTTGAGGTTGGTGAGCTTTTTGCTTCTGAGAATTGATAGTTTAATAAACATGGTGGCCAACCGTCACCGGTTTAAAATCCCAAGCTGGTTCCACAATTTATAAAAGAATTACAAAGATGGAATGTACTCTCAGGTTGTGGCCAAGGCTTTGGATATGAAGCCGAGGGATGACCTTGAGCATTTGAAGAAGATTAGGTGCGTTTGTCCATTTATGATGCATTTTTTGTGATTGTACAGAATCTACAAATGGTGGAGGTTAAAGTGCCAAACTTAGAGAATGGATTATTATCTTCAATCTCCAATTAGTTATCCTCAAACTCGTGATGATGAACAGCAAGCGGAATATTTATTTGATAGTAACCAATCAAGTTGCAGCAACTGGGACGAGGAGATCAATTATCAAATCAGATGTTGATAATACTCTTTTTTTTTTTTTTTGAGAAATCATGTTGATAATACTAATTAAGTAATAGTCATTAGGAATTGAAATGAAGAACACACATCCTACAGCTCTGCTTGCTAGGGATCATTTGCCATTGTTAGGGAATGCATATTCAGCCAAAGTGGGATTTCATTCAAAATTGAAGTTTATTTTAATTCAGTAAATGAGTTGATGTGGAAGAGTTGTCAACTCCGATGAAAAGGTCGGTTTTCTTTGTCAAGTCTGATGCGGATGAGTTGTCTGAGTTTGTTTTATTTATTTTCTTTTTCAAACTTTTCGTGGTTTTGGTTGTAATTAAATTATAAGAATGTGGAGTTTCGGAGGGGTTTGAAGCAAGGAGAGGCTCTTGGTGATATCCAAGCACGTACAGAAAGTTAGTGTTGATATTTTGCTGTTTTTGTTATTCAGCTTTGGTTGATTTGTTAGGATGTCATAGTAATTTGTGTTTTAAAATTTTTCAAATGTAACTCCCATAAGTACTTTCTTCATAGGATTAAGTTTCAGGTATTTTGGAGTCAAATATTATGCCTCTGTTTCTGCTTTTTGAATTGTTGATCAAATATGATGGTTTTTGTTTTTTTATATTAGTTTATAGATAAAATCAACTGTCAATTTGCTGATTCCGCCCCTTGGCTTCCTCTGCCATCCTTTTCCTTTCTTCTTATTTTCGGTTGCCGGTGATACTATTTTAAATTCTGCTTCACCTTTAGCTACTTGGATTAATTTTGGTTTACCAACAGCTATGTTTAAAACTTCTCATCCTCCCTATTGTACATATGTTTTTTGTGTTGGATACTAAATTCTGTCTCAATGCTCCATCGACAGAAACTTGACACCGAAAATTTCTTGAACTCAAGTTGCTGTTTTCCTGGGGATGCGTGGACGGCAATAGCAAGCACACCATGACCGTCTGTCCGGCATTATAAAGGATTGAGTTTCTATGGATTAAATAACTGGTAATTCTACTTTGTTGGAATTAACTTCAAAATTCAGAACTGATCATTATTTTAAATTTTATTTGCCTTTCCCATATTTCTGTTTTTTTTGTGTGTGTAACTTTTGTGATTTTATACCGCATAACTGGAGTGGGCTTGCTCAAATCAGTTTTAGGGTTGTGTTGAACGAGGAAAAACTCCAAGCTTGAATTTGGTCTTAGATTATGTGTGCTAAAATTGAGCGTGTTTGCCTTAAATACGGTCCTTTATGTGCATGTAAAGTTTTTGTTCTTTTGCTTCTGTGAGTGCAATAACCATACGGTCCTTTAAGTTTTGTGTAAATTAAACACAGAATCGTACCTTAATTTCAATTTGTAAGTTTCTATAAGGTCATTCTATATTTCAGATTTCTTTAGTCTTTAGGAGCATGTTTATAATGATGGATATAGACTATGTATATGAAAATATGTATATTAAAATCCGAATTATGTTCTGTTTGGTCCTTGAATTGATCGAAGATTGCTCATTTTTTCTGTTTTTGCCAAGTTCGCCTATAGTTTCGTCTTTCAGTTGTCTTCTCTTTATTTCACAATTTGCAATATATCTTTGAACACAAAATTTCACTTGATTCAAAGTTAGGATTGGAATCTCATTGTTCAGAATGTTGGACCCCTCTCCCCATCATTCTTGGCAATCTATGTCACTGAATTCATAGTTAATATTTGTAGGAATGTTCTTGATGCTCTATTTTTAATCAAGGTTAAATCATAACTCAAACTTGAAAAATGTTTAGTTAGGATTGAATTTGTTTTCGGTTTCTTGATGGAATTTGTTTTCGGTTTGTTTTAGGATTAGGAAATATTTGTTAGTTAGGATTGAAGTTTTACTTTTTATATTTGTATTTAGATTAGGAAGATTTCACATTCCTGATTTGAATTAAAACTTGAAAAATTACCAATTTTCTCATTATTATTAAAAAATCTTTATTATTCTCGATTCTTCCAGATGATTTGTTTGTGTTAGGATTAGGAAAATCCTTGGTACCATGTCTGTAAAGGGATTTATTCCAGGTCACGTAGCTCTTTTACAGGCCTTGTTGCCTGGCTCTCACTCAAGGTTCCAAAACCCTGGTCGGCTTCTGTGATTCTTTGCATCTTCCTCCATTCAAAACACGGTAATTTGGACCTATTTTCGTTACTGGTCAGTATAATCAAAACTTTGCTGTCACTTGTGGAATTCGTCTTTGAATTGTCTGGTTTCATCTTATAGGCTTGTAGTTGAAATCATGTTTTTGTGGATTTTAGTTCGTTTGGATTCAGGTTTTAGGCTTTTAGCTCGTATTATTGTCTATGAATTTTTTTCCCAAGAACTTTGGTTATATTATTATGATGTGGTTGCTTCTTCACAGCAACAATTCTTTTTAGGATTAGAAACAGGATTAGGATTCATGACCTCTAGGACTCGTGATTTTCAGCTAATTGGCCATTGTCAATCCTGATTTGTACGGAAGAGCATAAATGTGGACTTTGGTTGCAGTGCTTGCCTCCCCCGAAGATGCCTCAGAATTTACAGGCTATATAGAAACTAAAATCAAGCCGAAGATCGATTATACAGAAGCTAAAATCGTGCCGGAGATTGAAGCCCCTGATACACAGACGCTAGGCAGCCTCTATCCAGGTAAAGGGAAAAAGAGACCGAAGAAGAAAAAAAAGAAGTTATTTGAATATTGTTTGTACTTGATTTGACTGTAGACGTGCTTTTCGTTTTAGAAATGGTACCGATTGTTTTATATTAGACGTTGTATTTGATTCTAAAATTCAAAGAAATTTCAGGGATTTTAGAGTGCAAAAAGATTGGTTGCGTCACTTTCTACATTGTTTAAAGCATTGTGAGCTTTGGTTTGACATTCTGGTGATGAAATAAATTCTGAGATTGGCTTTAGTTATTTGTGTTTTGGAATGTAGCTTGTAGTATTCTTGATATGTGAAATTGTTTGTCTTTTTCAGAAGGAGCGAATAAGAAAATTTTTCCGGCATAATTGCCTTAAGAACTTGATACCACATATAAAGTCTGAAAAGATGCAAGACAAAATCTTTTGTAAAGTAGTATTGATGTAGGGCGCTGCATGTCAAATATAATCTATATTATCATCCGAATTAAATTAACAGTAAACGGTAGCCAACTTTACAAATTTGTAGTAAATTTGAAAATTTCTTTAGTTTTGGTTTATCTGTGTGTTGCATAGTTCGAAATATAAATTTCCTCTTCAAGGTGTTGTGCTGGGTTTGCTTCTAGGAAATAAAATAAATTGTCTCATTGTCAATTTTCTACAAAAAAAATTCAAACCCAGTAGCAATTCATATTTTGTTTACAATCTCCATGGATTAGCATTTTCTTTGGGGGGGATTTTTAAAGCCACTCATTTTTAGTACTCAAAGCTACCTAAAAAAAATTTAGACGATTTTGCCCGTATCATTTAATACAGTAGAGAGAAAAAGATAATGAGTAATTCAGAGGTAAAAAAAAAAAAACTTAAAAAAAATCCGAACCGGACAAGAAAACCGTTCCGATTGAATCGGGGACGCACAACAAATGCGTCCGGCCATTGAACCGGACGCGTTCATTGCGCGTCCCCGGTTCAATAGGGACGTGTATGTTGCGCGTCCGGTCCAGGTGAAATCAGACCGAAACGCGCAACACACGCGTCCCGGTTGAACCGGGGACGCGCATAATACGCGCGTCCGGTTCAATGACCGGACGCGTTTGTTGCGCGTCCCCGGTTCAACCGGGACGCGTGTGTTGCGCGTTCGGCCATTGAACCCGGTCCAACCGGATGGGCAGGTTCGGTGAACAGTTCTTTTTTTTTAAAATTTTTTTTATTTTTTTTTAATTTTTTTAATTTTAATTTCATGCATGTTATATTAATTTAATTAAGTAGGAATATTATTAATTTATTTGTTAATTTAATTAATTATGTTAAGTAATTTAATCAGTTGAATTTTATTTATTTATTGCATGTTATGTTAATTTAATTAAGTAGGAATATTATTATTTTTATTTGTTAATTTAATTAGTTATGTTAAATAATTTAATTAGTTGAATTTTATTTATTTATTGCATGTTATGTTAATTTAATTAAGTAAAAATATTATTATTTTTATTTGTTAATTTAATTAGTTATGTTAAGTAATTTAATTAGTTGAATTTTATTTATTTATTTAGGTTTAATTAATTAGAAATAATATTTATTTAGAGGGGGAGTTAAATAATTTTGTGGAATAAGTATTTAATTAAGTATTGGAAATGCAATTAATTAAATATTTAATTAATCACTAAATTAATGAATTCTAGCTATTTAGGTAGGTATTGGGAAATTTAATTTAGTAAATAATTTTGGATTAGTTGAGTTTTTTTATTTTTTATAATTAATTTTTTTACTGTAAATGTATGTTTTTTTATTATTTATTATAATTGTATATCTTTTTTTAAATGATTGGAATGTGTGTTTAATTTAATTATAATGCAGTTTTTTATTGTGGTAATTTTATGTTTAATTTGCAAGATTCTTTCGAAGATTTTGATGGCGATGGTGAAGATTATAGTATATTGTTTGTTATAGATGAGGAATTTTCAGAAAAGGATGATGCTGTTGCTTGGGTGAAAGGCATGGGTATGGCAAATGGTATGATAATAAATGTAGTTTCTAGCAAGAGGAAGAATGGTGTTCTGATGAGATGCTGTAAAGGGGGAAAGGTGTCAGTTGATGGTGAATACTATGTCACATCAGATTCGAAGACACAAATCACTGGGTGTAAATTTAAGTTATATGTGCACTTAGTTGATGGAAAGTGGCGCATTCGGGTGTATCCTGGTGAGTTTGGAATACATAACCACGAGCTGTTTGACGAAGATCATCCCACGAAGGGCCTTAGTGATGGAGTGAAACAACTTATACAGGGTATGTCCAAAGATGGGTGCAGACCTGTCAGATCATGGCTGCGATTGCGAGGATATTTCCTGATGAAAAAGTTAACAGACGGCGAGTCTACAATTTCAGGAAGAAATTGCGTAGTGAGGGGTTCCCAATCTTGGGTGACTCGAGTGCCATGGATGTCGCGACGAAGACACTATCGGTGGCCAAGCATCATCGTTACATCATCATGACAGATTGCAATCAGGAGGTAGGTGTGCTGACTCGTGTTTTTTTTGCACATCCTGATGCTGTCAATTTATTTTGTACTTATTTCTGGGTCGTCGGGATAGACTCAACATACAAGATGAACAAGTACAAAATGCCGTTGGTTGAGTTTATTGAGATGATACCGTGCAACCAGAACTTCTTGATTGCATACGCCCTCTTGAGTGACGAGATTGGTGACAGTTATTATTGGGCTTTGAGACAGTTTAGGGATTTGCTTCCTGGTCATCTGTCTCCGGCTGTTATTGTTACTGATCGGGAACCAGGGTTGATGGTGCTGCTGGGTATGGTATTTCCAGATTCATGCCACTTGTTGTGTATTTGGCATGTTTATGAGAATGTAAAGCGACATCTCAACAACGTTGTGGAAGCTAATAATCAGGATGAGTACAATAAAGCTGTTGCCGTAATAAACCGTCGTTGGCAGAATTTTGCGAGAGTTCTTAATTATATCCAGAAGACATGTCTAGTGGTTGACTATAAATTCGTCAAGGCATGGACGAATGTTGTGTTTCGTATGGGCAACACTACTACAGGTAGGGTGGAGAGCGCGCACAAGCAGCTAAAAACTTGGCTGGAAACATCCATTGCGTCGCTGAATACACTTTGGGCTAAGGTGCACTTAGAAATTCAGAGTCAGCTAACTGAAATACGATAAGTTCTATTCCATTATATTATATTTATTATAATATATTTAGTATTTTTTTAGTTTTTTGGCATTTTCCGTAGAATGTTTTACAGTAAGTGGCTACATTCAGGTACAAACTGGAGTACTCGAGGCAGAAAATTGGCACCCATTATTGCGGTTTTTCACTAAACCGCTTGAAGTGTCAAGTTTCACATACATATTTGCAAAAACTGAACAGTGAGTGGTCGAAGGCGCAAGAGTGGAAAGAAGAAACGAATGACAGATGTGATCATGTGGTGTACTGGACTTATCGAATTTCATGTGCGTGCGCCCTCAAAAAGGCTGCAGATGCCGGCACATCGATAACTCTTAAGCATATTCACCCATTCTGGACGACTCTTAATATCGGTGAACAGGCTGGTACAAGTGGTCCTAGCGATGTGGATGACGATGTCCTTTATACCAGACAGTTGATGAAAGAGCTGAACGAGTGTCCTAAGGCAGTACAACGCACGGTAAATAGGGTTCTCCACAATATTATGCATCCAGACCAGTGTAGGTTTAAACAACCCGAGGAGGTCAAGAGAAGGAAGGCGCGGCCTAAGGGGGCTAAATCAAAGAAAAAACCAACACCTAATGTGTGGGATTACAGGAACGAGGCTCAAGGAAAGTCGACCGCAGTTACCAGCGATTCAAGTAAGAAGCGCCCCTTGTCTTCAGGTGGTCGTACAGATGCATCCACAGGTACATGTTAAGAAATAATTGTTGCGTCCATAATTTATTTATTAACAATTGTTCCAAATAACATTTGTTCCGTGTAATGTACAGATATTTTTGCGAGTGATATTTCACAGTATGGTTGCCACGACCTCATTCCATAGCCCATTCAGCCATATATTACCAGTTACCTTGATGTTGGTGTCGATGGCAATTGTGGATTTTGCGTCGTCGCGAGTAACATGTATTTGTGCCAGGACAAGTGGGCGATGGCGAGAGAGGTAATTACGACCGAGCTAGAACAGAATTGGCATCTGTACAGTAGAATCTACGGGTATAAATACTTTTCATTTTCTATGTTATGATTGTTGAACTTGGCAGTATTTTGCACAAATAATTGTATATGTAAATGCAGGACGGAATGCCAGGAAGAAGTCAGTAGTATACGGTGGAGTGGACAGGGTTTCGCACCTGATCGCTATTGGATGTGTGCGCCGGACTTGTTCGTAGTTGCGACTATGAACAATGCAATTGTGTACTATTACGGTGCAGGGGAAGAGAACCAGTTGCTAAACACCTCATGTTGGACTATACTATCTGTCACTGCACGCGGTGAGGCAACATGTCCGGCATATGAGATTGGGGTATGACACCTTGGTATTTACAAGTACTTCATTCGAATCAATTTGGACGGTGACTTTCCAGTTCCACCGATCAATAAGCGGTAGACTAAGGAACATCAGCCTAGCGTTGCTGGTTGGGAATTACCACTTCTTCCTAGAATTCAAGATTGGTATAGGTTGGTCCCCTCCAATCCTGGACGACCCGTGGATTATGCTAATGATTTCATTGATCTTAGTTTCTTAGATTAGATCCATGTATGTTTGTTTGTTGTGATGATGATATTGGTATTATCTAGTATCTAATTTGTTTGTTTTTTATGATTTGTGCAATAACAAATCTTGTTGGCCATAAAAAAAAAAACTTACCACACGGACACCAAATAAGCTAACTAATATATAACACACAATTTGCGCATAAAAAAAAAACTAAATGCAGTCCAAGAAACAAAAAAATAAACAAATCCAGTCCAATAATACTACAATGACAATGCTCATGGGGCCTTGTAATAACGGATCATCATATCCTGCAGCTTCTCATCATATTCGTCAGCTAGCTCGCGATCGGACACTTTGACCTTTTTAATCAGGTCCGTAGCGATTTTCCTCAATTCATTCATCCACTGAAAAAAAAAAGGTTAAACTATTTATAATGTAGAAATGTATATCTACAAAAACCGAAATATTAAAAATACAACTTACATAATCCTGACTGCTCCTAGCTGGTGTAGAGACTGCAGATGGGTCAGTTGTCGTCAGCAAAAATGGATATGAATACTGCCTGTACCAGTCAAGGTACCCATCCTCACACTCTCCTACGCTGTCACCGAAATTGGGTCATCATCTGGTCAAATTAATACACGCTGACTCCGAGAATCTCCTCCAAGTACTGAGTGTGTCAACAGCAGAATGCTTTATAAAGTACTGGGTAGTCCTGGGTCCTTGGAATGCATCATCAGGGGACATGGGCGAACGAGGAATACTCTGTATTCTTTATTATATTTTATACACATACAACAATTCAATAAATATAAGTGAAAATAATTAATTAAAAATAATTACATAATTTTAAATAATTACAAAAATTAAATATAGATATTTGGTACCTGATGATGCAATAGTGATAACTGGACGTGTAGATACTCCAGTGGATCCGGGACCTCGGCTAGGGCACACGGGATCAATGAGAGGGGGAGGACGTGTAGATACTCCAGCAGAGACGGGACCTCCGCGAGGGGGCACGGGATCAATGTGGGGGAGATGCCTGAGTGGAGCGGGAGGGACGAGGCCGACTACCGGTGGATATACCCTGTGGGAATTGACCGGGACGTGGGAAAGAGGGACTATAATGTGGAGTGCGCCACTCACCACTCATAGGAGAAGGGATAGGGGTAGGGGGAGAGGGTAAACCGCCAGGACCAGGCCGTGGACAACTGGAGTACCGGGGAGGAGGGTAACTACTAAGATTGTACATAGGCGTATCTCTGTGATGCGCACCCATCCTAACACTGTCCTGCACATCATCCTCATCAAACTCATTCTCCTCATCCTCTTCATCCTCATCCTCCTCTTCCAGGTCGTCCTGAGAATACTCGGGTACATAAATCGGCTGACTAGACCGAGTCTGAAACGGTACACCACCCATATTGACCTGAGTCATTTTCATTCGCTTCTTTAACTCTTTTTCCTCTTTTTTCTTCCGACGACTCATGGTCAGATAACGCGCACGAACCTTACGCTTACTAGTATCTTCAGTATCACTAGTATCACTATCATCATCATCATCACAATAAACCTATAAACAAAATTTTATTCATCATCATCATATTTTCATAGTCTAAACAAATAATTATACACATTTCCTAAATCCTAAATAGTTTAATAATTAAGTACACTTTGATTAAACGTAAAATTCATATAATAATTAAGTAAACTAAAGTACTTTACCAAATTTTTTGTGAAATTACTATTAATTATAATTAATCCAAAATACTCAACTATTTTACAAAATATTTATATTAATTTAATTAATCATAAACTACATTACAAACAAATTAGATTAGCTTTACTAATTTACTATAATTAAATTAAAAATATAACCTAAATACTTTAATAACTATTTAAATTAAATAATTTAATCAATTAAACTAAGTAGATAGTGAACTAATCTACTATTAATTAAATTAGTTTTTAAAATTCAACTAATTTACATACTATTTAAATTAATTTAATCAATTAAAATGATTAACTTTACTAATCTACTAATAATTAAATTAAAAATATAACTTAAATACTTTAATAACTATTTAAATTAATGAGTAAATCAATCAAATTAATTAGGTAATGAACTAATCTACTATGACTTAAATTATTTTTGAAAATTCAACTAATTTACATACTATTTAAATTAATTTACTCAATTAAAATGATTAATATACTAATCTACTAATAATTAAATTAAAAATATAAACTAAATACTTTAATAACTACTTAACTTAAGTAATTTAATCATTTAAACTAATTAGGTAGTGAACTAATCTACTATTAATTAAATTAATCTTTTAAACTCAACTAATTTACAAACTAATCAAATTAAATTATTTACACAATTAAACTAAATAACCAATTAATAAAGAACCTTAATCTAAATCACAAACTATTAATTAATAAATAACTATATTATAACCCTAATTACATTAAATTAAACATAATTAAACACTAATAATGAATTAAATAAATTTAAAAATAAAATTAAAAAAAAAGCATTCTGCCCCCCATACGGCCAGAGAAGCCGTCCGGCGGCGCGACCGGGACGCGCAAGAAACGCGTCCCGGTTCAACCCAGAACGAGCAAAACCCCTGTTTCGGGTTGAACCGGGACGTGTTTCTTGTGCGTCGGTCCGCCGCCGACGCCTTCCATGGCTGTACAGCGGCCACACAAAAAAAAAAAAATAATTTCTACCCGCTGGACGAGCAAAGAAGCCGGCCGGCGGTTCGACCGGGACGAGTAAGAAACGCGTCCCGGTTCCGTTTCCGAGTTGAACCGGGACGCGTTTCTTGCGCGTCCCGGTCGAGCCGCCGGACGGCTTCTTTGCACGTCCAGCGGCCAGAATGCTTTTTTTTTTTTTTTTTCCTACAATGCACAAATTTTTTTTTTTAAAAAAACGTACCCGTGATGAGATCGACTCTTTACCGCTTTGATTTTTCCGTGTTGCCATCAATTTTGGATCAAATTAGACTTCAAATTGGGGTTTAGAAGGGAGGTGGCTTCAAGTTTTCTCTCTTTTTTCCTTTGGTGGAAGTTTGAAATGTAAGGGGCAAAATGGTCCAAAAATATTTACGATAACTTTAAGTAGTAAAGATGGTAGCTTGAAAAACTAACACCCTTTGTTTGCTAAATGGAAGTAAATTCGAACGAACAAAAAATTTAGGAAATTTTAAGAATCGGAATTGGGCCATGAAGGAAAAAAAAACAAGGCAATGAATAAAAGAAAAAAGGATCATTGTTCTGGTCAACAACCTGTTATCACAACTGTAATATTTTCAACTTAACACGTTCGCAACTCTGCCAACTCATTTCTCTGTGGATGAAATCTTACACTATGCACGTCCAGAATCTTCTCATTATGGAATTAGAATAATTATTAGGAAAAATAAATGGCACCTAATTCAAGAAACCTCAAATAATTAGGAAATTAAAATTTATTTGGAATCATTCAAAATAAATAAAATGCTACATATTTTCGTGAAAGCTTATGTTTGGATTGTTTTTTAAGTGTATGTTTTTATGTTTTTTTAATATTGAAAATGTAAAAAGGTTTATTGGAAATGTAAAAAGGTATATTAGGATGTGACACTTAATATTTAATTATTTTGAAATTACCATAAAAAAGACAAACCAAACAAAGCCGGAGGTAACAATAGTGCATGACTGGAATTGGATACAATGTTTAAGCTTCGAACAAAAAGCAAAGTTCAGTTTTCATACGTGCTAATTTTCTTTTATTTGGAACACAAACGAATTGATCTTTTAATAGAAAACTTGGCTACTAAAGCCTACAAAGTTAACCTACTAAACCTGACTACTAGACACCACCAAAAATAAAAAAATAAAAAAAACAAATTTCATGCCTAAAATTGCAGGCCTCGAATTGGATACAACCTTTAAGCTTGAAACAAATAGGAAATTTCAGTTAAAATGAACCTTTCCATTTAAAACATGATCATGGAATTAAGTTCATGCATGCAAGCTTGATCATCTCCAGATCATAATGCAGCAACAACTAATCATCATCGTATCCATATTCAAGGACACTTTGGAGCTAGCGATCAAAAGCTGAATCTCGAGGCGGAGGCTCCGTCGGGAGCGACGATGACGACAATGTTAGGTTTCTAACATAAACTTTGAAGCTTGGAAAAGAGCTTGCCTTCTTACCGAACTGGCCGTTACAAATTGACACCTAAATCGATGCTTCCAAAACCGAAACCAAGGTCTGAAAAAACCAAAACAGAAACTTAAATCAAAACATTTTCATTCATGTCCTTTAGGATTTGAATCCAACAATCGTTAGCAATGACTTGAAAAAATTATAGCAATTAGCGAATAGCGAAAATGCCTAGCCACCTACGATGAGGCCAATATAATTAGGAAATGAAAATAGACTATCAAGGATGAATTTTTCTTTCATCCTCTAAAATTTGAGTACACATTTTTTATTTTCTAACTTCCATATAATCATCAATAATAAATTTTACCAAATAATAATAAATAAAACAAGTATGCATCCGATAACAAACTAAGTATGCCATATTATTTATAGGGTGTGCCGCGCGGCGAATGCCTGAGCACTACTAATATATAAAGGTAGATAAAAAGGATGAATTAAATGGGATAGTATCTCGATTGAAGATTATATCAAATTGATTGCTATCATATCTTATCTATACAAACTAAAACACTATATAAAAAATTTAAATACTATCAAACTCTTCTACCCCATGCTTATCCTACCTCTTTTTTTTACATTATCTTTATCATTTTTTACCTTATTATAAAAGCAGCATACATACACCATTTCAACTCATACCAATGTAATACATTATGACCTGTCTTCTAATTCTATGAACAACATGCATACATCATCGCAACTCATACCTATATAAAAACATATCTTCTAATTGTTACGGCGTCCAAATCAACATTTTAGCCATAAATTCTCAAGGTATGGAAGGACACTAAGAGTATATTTATTGCGTGTATGGAACGAATAGAGTTTAACAGAAACAATAAGGTGTCTTCATTTGATTGTATCTTGGTAGAACAAAAGTAATTTGATTTTTATCTTTGTTTCTGTTTAATGAAACCACTCCTATTATAACTGTGTGTTAATTAGAACAGAAAAATGAGTCATTTAATTAGGTTTTGGGTTGGGTTAACCCAACTTATTTTAAGTTATGAATGACCAACCGAACCCAACCCAACTAAATATAAAGAATATGAGTGGCTTTGCAATCTAACTTGTTTTTAATAAGTCATAATCTAACTCAACTTATACAGATGGGATCCTCTGTGAGAGATTTTCCTGGAAGTCCCTGTAAGGCCTCTTATACGACACCGTTTCATTTAGTTGTGAGCTTTGTATGTTTTTTTTAACTCAACTAAATATTTTATTTCTGGTAATTTTTCAATTTACCGGCTTGAGCCAAGCCAATTGATGTTCCCATCACCATAAAAAACTAAATGTTGTTGACTCCGCCCGAATAAATAATACAGAGTAGTACTCCCCGGCCATCGTCGTTCTTCTCCCTCTATTTCAATTACTTTTTTACTTGTCCATAGTCATAAAACAAAAGGATTTAAGGTTTGCAAAATTCTATAGACTTCATCGAGGAATTGTAAATTGGAGTTCTTATTTATTGTTTTTAGGCGAATTCTTCAAGAATTGAAAGCCCTAATTTTTTCAATGGAGGTGAAACCATCATATTTGAACGAGTGATAAAACATCACTAGTTACTACAATGAAAAGAAAGAAAGTTAAAAGTATGAGTCACGCACCACTCTAATCTCCGGTGAGCTTTGGTTTTTAGTGTAACTTGAGAAATTCTTTCTGATTAGATATACTGACTCATTTAGTTAACAAATAGAAAAATTCAGAACAACAATAAGAGATAGAAAAATCAGAACAACAGTGGGAGAGTACTGATATCGATTTTGGCATTCAAAAGAATAATAGAAGATCAGGCATCCCCGGCCAAATTCATCACTATAAAACAATGTTCGTCGAAATTTGAATGACGACTAGGATCGTTTTTATGTGGAGTTTACTTCGGCTCGGCTCAACCCACAGAAGTCAAAGAGAAAAAATAAAAAAATGAAAAAAGCAAATATATGAGGGGTCAAAATTAATGAAACGTTGTCGTATGAGAGACCTTATAGGGACTTACGGGGAAATCTCTTACAGAGAATCCAAACTGGAAAAACAGGTAATATATAGTTCAGAAATTCACGCAATATTAGTAAATTTATATTTTCGGAATTATTTTCTCTTCATTTACTATAGAAATGACACTCAATTTCTCTTATAAACTACAAGACTAAAACGAAATTCGTCTCCTACATGCTTCAAAAGGCAATCGTACTTTTGGCCTATGAAATCCAAGATCGAAAACAACCTCTTCAATCAAGTCTCTTGAGATGTAGTTGTCCAAAACCAATTCTAGGTTTTGCCGCTCTCTTTTTTCTCCCCAAACAATATCATTGCATACTTCTTCCACACTTTGGATCATTGCTTTGCTGCTCCAAGCATTAGGGTTCGCGGCTTTGCGTTTCATCTTCAGTGACTCTGCTTGGACTTTGTCGATGAAGCTTATGCCAACTCCCTCTTCTTCTTCTCCTGGCTTCTTCCCCAAAAGTTTCTTTCTCTGCTGTGGCATAACTCCTGCATTTGTTATATTAGACGAAGTAAAAACCAGCATCCTGTTAATTAATCCCTCAGTCATGAAATAATTGTCTTCTTAAATTTTTGACTAAACTGTATAACGGGTCCCTTACATTTGTCCGAATTTAAATTTTGGTCCCCTACATCAACATGTATATGGATTGAGCCTTTACATTTTATTTTGAAACTTTTTTTTGTCTCTTTTCATTGTTCCGTCACCATTTCCGTCTTGATGACCGTTGACCCTACCAAGTCAGGGGTATTTTCGGAATGACACATATAAGATCAAAATAACAAATGTTTAAATGGTCCCCTACATTTGTCCGAATTTAAATTTTGGTCCCCTACATCAACATGTATATGGATTGAGCCTTTACATTTCATTTTGAAACTTTTTTTGTCTCTTTTAACTTTTCCGTCACCATTTCCGTCTCGATAACCGTTGACCTTACCAAGTCAGGGGTATTTTCGAAAGGACACATATAAGATCAAAATAAAAAATGTTTTTATAATAAAATAGTATAAAAAATATTTAAAATTATTATTTTATAATAAAAAATTAAATAGTGTAAAAATAAAAAAATTAAAATGATTTCAAATTTCAAATTTTAAAATTTTTTTTCACTTCTCACCTTTGTGGGTCCCACATACCAGTCAATTTCTCCCCCTTTTTTTGCTACAGTAAAAAAAATCAAAATTAAAAACCAAACTTACGTTCACCCGTCTTTTATCTTTATCCTTAAAAATTTTATTCTCATAATCTGAAATGCCCTTTTATTAATTTTATTTTTACCAAGTCACTGCTGGTAAAGGTAAAAGATGGGTAAAGGTAAGTTTGCTTTTTAATTTTGATTTTTTTTACTGTAGCAAAAAAAAAGGGAGGAAATTGACTAGCATGTGGGAAGTGAAAAAAAAATTTAAAATTTGAAATTTGAAATCATTTTAATTTTTTTATTTTTACACTATTTAATTTTTTATTATAAAATAATAATTTTAAATATTTTTTATACTATTTTATTATAAAAACATTTGTTATTTTGATCTTATATGTGTCATTCCGAAAATACCCTGACTTGGTAGGGTCAACGATCATCAAGACGGAAATGGTGATGGAACAGTGAAAAGAGACAAAAAAAGTTTCAAAATAAAATGTAAAGGCTCAATCTATATATACATGTTGATGTAGGGGACCAAAATTTAAATTCGGACAAATGTAGGGGACCATTTATACAGTTTAGTCTAAATTTTTAGTAAAATTTGTATAGTCTAAATTGTTGCTTAATTATCACGGTGCATTATTCAGACGTCAATTATTGTGTCAGTTGAAGCCCTGAAGGTAATAAAGCTGCCATATATTAAACTAGGTTTCACTTTAGTTTCTGTTCCACACACGTTGAATCAATAATTCGAATTTTAGGATCACTTAAAACACACACACACACAAAACAAATTGAAATATGTACCATGTCAAGAGAGTAACTTTTTGATGATTTACTCCATATATTTGGAAACATGCAACTCGAGGATTGAACCAAAAACATGTATAAAATGGTAATTAAGAAAAGGGAATAGATCTTGCTTCTGACTACTTATTACAACGAATAACTTATGTTACACACGATTAAGTAATCAGCAAAATTGTGTATTTAATGTACTTGACGAACAGCACTAATGCACTAAAGTGAGAGTAGGTATTGCTAAATTAAATCAAACAGTAGGTATTGTTAATTTGAATCAAACAGTACAGTATGGACTATGGACTCTTTAATTTGTGCCGTTTAAGAGTAAACATAATTTCATTGTTCGAGGGAATCAGATTGATCAAAGAAAGTAACAAATCAATTAAACACTGAAAGGGAAAATGGTCCAAAAAGGAAAAGGAAAAGGAAAAGGTTAAGTGGGTGCTGGATATAGTAAGACAATCGCTAAGGAGAATACAAAAAGGGAAAAGCGCAATTCATGCACATTTCTGTTTATGTTTTTGAGTTTTTATCTGTTAAAAGAAAATTTGAGACGAATATATCGTGTATCTCCTGTGTATTCCTCCAGTGCGGCTATTTTCACAAATTGCGTTTTTGGATTTATCATTTGTTGCTATTGTGTACTTCTATTTAAAAAGTTTACATCATTTACCCCACTTTTATGGACGGTCCGTACGTAATTTCTTATATAATAATAAATTTAATTCTTTACCAAAGATATTCAGAGCACATGTTTCAGCACCTTTTTTTTTTGTTTGTTCCAGTACTATTTTAAAAAGAAACAAAAAAATGCTAGAAAAGTCATTGGACAAAATTCTTAATCAATATTAATTAATCTCTTCTGATGCTTAAATCAATTATGACCCGCCTAAAATTCCATTACACCATCACTTTTATAAACGAGGCAGGAGGGGGTAAGTTCATAGCATCAAATAGCAATATATACTTTTAGGCATTCAAAAAAGAAAATGACAGTTGGGGTGTTGGACACAACTTGATATGATGTAATCCACGTCTCCCCAAAATTATTCTCCAATTTGAATATTCATTTTTTATATAATTTATCTTAAAAATAAAAATTGAAACTGGACAATAATTTCAAAACAGAGAAAAAAATTTCGTTTTGATTTTTAGAAAAGACAAATGATGACAATTTTTTTGTGATTTAAATGAACTACTAGTATATATGCGAGTATACAAGATTTAAAAGTCAGTGGAATCTAAAGATATTATTAAAAAAGAAAAAAAAGTTCGCTGCCAATTGTTTCAATGAGAAATGGATAAAATATAATCCATATACAGTGGATAAAGTATATAAAATGCTCAAAGAGAAATCAAATAGGATAAAAAAAGCTCCTACCACGGTAAGTGATTTAGGAGAAGAGATTAATAATCTTAAAGAAGAAATAAAAATTCTGAAAAAACTTAATAAGAGCTTAGATGATAGAGTTTCTAATTTAGAAAATAAGAAACAAGTAGATTCTTATAAAAATATATTAATAAGTGAAACGGAAAATGAGAATTTTCTAAGATTTTTAGACTTAATTACTTCTTTTAAATTCCATGTTATTATTAAATTATCAATAGATCATGATTATCAAATAGAATTAATGGCACTAATTGATAGTGGTGCGGATGTTATGTATTATACAGGAAGGAATAATTTTCACTAAATATTTTGAAAAAACTACTCATGTGGTAAGACATGCTGGTGGAAAAGTATTAGACATAAATTATAAATTGTCTAAAGGATATATTTGTTATAATCAAGTTTGTATTCCTGAAAGTTTCTTAATAGCTAAAATAATAACTAGCCAAGTTATACTAGGAACTCCCTTTATAAAAAGAACTTTCCCTATAACCCATATTGATACTGATAGTATCACAGGTACATATGACAAAAAACTTGTATCTTTTAAATTTATAACTGAACCTAATACGAAATTCATTAATGAACTTAAAGATCTTATTTTTAGAAAAAATAATCAGATTAATTTCTTAAAATTTGAAATTAATATATTCTCCATAGAAGAGGATTTAAAAAATCTTAAATTACAGGAAAAGATTAAAAGAGTATATAATAATACTTCTACTGAGATTTGTAATGAACATCCTAATGCTTTTTGGGGTAGGAAAAAGCATATAATTAGTTTTGCATATGAAGATGATTTTGATGAGAAAACAATGATTAAGACAAAGGCAAGACCTTGCCAAATGAATTCTGAATATTTGAAAGTATGTAAAAAAGAGATGAATATGTTATTAGAAAAAAGATTGATTAAAAAGTCAAATTCTCCATGGTCATGTACTGGTTTTTATGTCAATAAACATAGTGAAATAGAAAGAGGAAGACCAAGGTTAGTAATAAATTATAAACCTCTTAATAAAGTACTAAAATGGATTAGACACCCAATCCCAAATAAAAAAGATTTATTGGATAGATTATATGATACATTAATATTTTCTAACTTTGATTTAAAATCTGGGTATTGGCAAATTCAAATTGATGAGTCAGATTAATATAAAATAGCTTTTAATGTTCCAGTTAGTCATTTTGAATGGAAAGTGATGCCATTTGGATTAAAGAATAAAAAAAAATGCAAGTACAGTCTTTAACCTGATTATCCATGAGTTTATACTTGTTATCCAAAACCTCAATACTACTTATCCATATGTAACCAATGCTTATCCACCATGTGGACATAACAAAACAAGGATTCAGAGAGGGCTTCCAAAAAGACATAACAAAAGAAAATATCCATAAGAAAATGGCTATCCAAACGGCATGTTCATTGGGGGGCTTCGCCCCCCATGATAAACTAAACGACTCCCGCGGCTACCGGAATCGCAGGTCACTAACCTGCCTCGGCTGTGCCGCCCTGCCGAACACGCCAATGTAGCTAAGGTAATCCTTTTTTCGTGTGTGTGTAAGGAGAGTGTGTTATTGCATTAAGAGGGGACACAAATTACTTGTATAAATCCCCCCGTGATAAACTAAACGACCCGGCTGCGCCGGTGCTCGCGGCTGCGCCGCCCTCCCTGCCGAATACGGCAAATTTCATAAATAGTATTTAATTGAATGAGGGGCATTTTGCCAAATGATGGAGAACAAAAAATGAATGAGGGGCAGTTTGCCAAATGATGGAGAACAAAAAATGAATGAGGGGCAGTTTGCCAAATGATAGAAATAAGGTACGTTCAATTGTGTATAACTAATTATCCATATTGTCAATACTGGTTATCCAAGTGTGTATAACTAATTATCCATATTGCCAACATTGGTTATCCACATTGTGAACACTAGTTATCTATAGTGTGCACACTGGTTATCCAGCTATGTTTAACTAGTTATCCATAGTGTGCACTCTGGTTATCCACAGTGTCAATTCAAAATTTGAATGAATTCGGTAATTTATATATGCCACGTTTAAAAAAAAGAAAAAAAAAAAGAAAGCTGAATTATCTAGCAAGCTCACGCTATTCTAAAAGAGTAAAGTACACGTGGAGGGGGTACATGGTGCTCCGGGTGTACCAGATAATTTGTCGATAAAAACTTATAAAATTCATCCGAAATAAATTTTTGTATTTCTAAAGAGAAATTTGGGGAAAAGTCAGTGGAATTTAAAGATATTATTAAAAAAGAAAAAAAAGTTCGCTGCCAATTTAAAGATATTATTAGTTAATAAGGAGAATTTTACCCTGAACAGTAGACATGTTTTTATTTTATTTTTATTTACATTTTTTTTCCGATTTCCACTTTTAAGTCTTTTTAGTTTTGACTTCAACGAACTTGAGTGCAATGCATCATGGAAAAGTTCTTGTAGTTTTGATATCAAAAGTCACTTAATTATGTCGGAGCACATGCCCAACAAAACAAAATCGACAACGGTAATTATTGCAGTTTAACTTTATGACTGAATTGAGACTTGAGAGTTCACAATCATCATACCTGTGGAGTAATGTTTTCCCGATTGACACATATGGTAAAGTATTTGAGTTCATCCTAATTTCTCAATTACAAATGTTTACTCACCATTGATTTTTGTTTTTTTTTTTGGGGATCTGTGAGAAACATCATGACTCTTCCTAAAAAAGATTTACATTTTTTCAGATAAAAATTTCGAGACATATTGATTCTGCAGGTTGTAATATTCATAATGAACCTTTTAAAAAAAAAATTATTTTACATCCAAGAGTAAACAAAAGCTCATCTATGACTAGCGTTATTCCATCCGACTCAAAAAATTGAATAATTAAAAAATAATCCATATCAAAGTTTGAAAATTGTAGAAAAAATAATACAAATTTCAAAACTTAATGTAGACTATTATTTAGGAAATTGCCTACAGGCAATAGAACATGTTAAATTAATAAAAGGAGTATGACTTTAAAATATTTTCTATGAAAAGTAGTAATTTATTTGTTAAAAATTACAAAATTAATATAATGTTAGTATTACATAATTTCCCTTATTTTTAAATACCCTTTATAAACTCATAAAATGCAGAAAATAAAATTCAGTTTCCTGAAGATTCAGAGCCGCAGAGGAAAGAAACAATAAATGAAAAAAAAAATCAATACGGGATTCAGACTCAAAGGGGAAATTCCATTACTATTCTAACTAATCATCCTATATGATTGCTGCTTTATTATTCGATTCAACAAATGTTATTAAGATATGGTACTAGCAATCCTTTTTGCCCAAAAATTTTTCTTGATTGCAAATGATGAATACTTTGTGGTTTACAGAGGGGATTATGTGGATGTTGCTGAATCAACGTTGAATACTTACATTAATACTTGAATAATAATGCCATCTCCATCAAATTTATCACCGGAAACTATGTGGCTGGGTCATTTTTATCATACATGATTAATTAGCGAAATTTATGTGATCCAAATTGGATGATTTGACCAAGATGGTGAGAGGAAGAGGGAAAAAAATAGTTAATTTCTGCTCCATTGATTTAAAGATTTCTTTTTTTTTTTTTAGGAGAATTGATGTTAAAGGTTTTTTTTTTATATGGTTTCGAGAGTAGCAGTGCAACAAAATGGAGCAGTTTCTGAAGGTGGGATCAAACAACAGAACATGACTTTTGTTTTATTATAATTATTATTATTGTTATTGTTATTGTGTAAGAAATTATTCTGTAAGGGTGGTATTGTCATTTCAAAATTTTTTTAATTTTATAATTTTTGATAAATAAGTTACTGTTTTTTATAAAAAATATTTTATAATTATACTTTTTTTATTAATTTAATTTATTCTACTGCCCTTTAGGCAAATTTTCCCATTATTTTTATAAGAAGAAATATAATACATCTCACTTACACTTTAGTTCGAATGACTTTCCAGTCTCGGCATTCCTATTGGAATACAAATATGGGAATTGGCGAAATATATATTTGATTGAGAAAATGTGATCATGTTATGGATCAACTGGTATAGAATGATATGTACTACTCTCGTCGTAACAAAATCATTGTTTTATTTGAATTTGTATTTTTTATTCTAATTTATACTGGGACTGAAATATAAAGTAGAAAATATTTTGAGACGGGAAGAAAATTTATATATATATATATAGGAATTTTAGGAAATTTTTTTTTTTTTTTTGCTAAAATGAAAGTCTTACGTCAACTCAAAATAAAATTAGAACAAATTTTGTCCTGTGAGACAAAGTGACCTAATTAGTAATTTAAGTTATCCAAATTTCATCAATATACTAATAAAAATTGTTGTAGCGTCTATATCGTGGACTGATTTCAGTAGGCACTCTTTGCTCAAAATTAAGTAAAACTGATACTCTAATCCAATTAATATGTGCATACCTTCAAAAAAAAACATTCCTTCTTCACCATCATGATTACTGTTATGTTAATATATAATTTCGTTTTATTTTCATGGTGTATATATATATATATATATATATATATATATATATATTAACCCTTTGTACCATGGTAAAATGACAAAAAATATACAGTATCTAATAATTATGTCTCAAGGAAAATTTAAAAAAGACAAATGATGCATCATGAAGTGTGAAAGCCTGAAAGGGAAGAGAGAAATAAAACTAACCATTGTGGTGTAAGTTGGCAGCGTAGTTGTAGCGGCGAAAAGGAGGCGGAGACCGGCCGCCGACGTAATCGACGACGTCATCACCGTCGCTGTCGTCGGAATCGGGCGTCGTCGGACGAGGCAGCTGGAATATTTCCGACGGAGCAGATTTTTTATTATGTTTATCCTCAACTAATTGAACAGCCATAATTACCTTCTTCAACGACACCAAATCTTCATTGCATTTCTCCAGCGCTTCTAGAAGCCGCCTCCTCTTTTCTTCTTCGTCATCCTTTTTAATGGTTTTGCTGCCCGGCTGATGATCATCCTCCAACCCCATTAGCCGGGCAACCAGCGCCGGCCGTTCAGGCACCGCCGGGACAGCATTCCCGGCCATTAGCCGGATCTCCGGTGGAAGCATCGGACTCCGCGGCGTAACATCGCCTGTTAATTTCCTACTTTCCAAGTCTCTGTCCTCCTCTTTGATATCATTCTTTATATCTTCTTCTTTAAGTACTGAATCAGCCGAATTATCCGCAGTTGATAACCGGAATGACTCGGTCTCCGTCGTCGGAGTTGAAACCACATTTCTTGGGGTCTTTAACTTTTTCCCTGCAAAAATCAAATATATTCACGATCATGAAGTAACTATACAACAAATTATATTTAGGGTTACGGAAGAGTTTGAGAGAAAATTAAAAATGTACATATTATAAATTACCAAATGTGAGGAGTTTTTTCCGGTTGTTGTACTTGGAGGAGATTAACTTAAAGATGGCCGGGAAACAGCCGGTGAGCTTTGCATGGCGGTTTTCGGTGGTTTTAGACGGCGGTGGCGGTGGGGTTCGGAGGTAAGACGATGAAAGAAGACTATCTTGTCTCTTCAGCATTACCGTTCCTTTTTTGTTTTCTTTATCTTTTCAATTTTTGTTCTTCTCTTCTGGTTGTGTTGTTTGTTTGGAAAAGGTTGAATCAGTTAAAATCAAACAGTTGTGAAAAAGAGAGAAGAGAACCATTAAAGAAAAGAAATTGAGCACGCTCTTCTTTGGATGCGATAATCAACCGTTGGGCTGATATGGGACCAATTTTTACGCTTTATTTCTTTGATCTCCAGAAATGCTTTTTACTTTACCTTTTGCAAATTATTATCATTATTGTTTTCCGTTTCTCCTTTTTTTTTTTCTTTCTTTTGAGTATTATGAATACACTATAAAACTATATTGTACTCCCTCCGTCCCATAATTATTGTCCAGTTTGGGTTTCCATTTCTAGTTCAAATTGTACTAGAAGTGAAATCTCAAATTGGACAATAATTATGGGACAGAGGGAGTATATTATATTACCAGTTTAATTTAGAAACTTGCATAGATAACCAGCTGTTATTAGAATGCGTGTTTCAAGAGTTTTTTTTAACATTGTATTGTCGGCCTACGCTTCTTTTTATCATGGTATCAAAAGAAAAAAAAGAAGAGAAATGTTTCAAAGTGAAAACGATTTCATTTCTCAATCGAGATTTCAATTTACTTATTTACTTACTAGGTATTGCACCACCTCAATTTACACAGCGTCCACGAAAAAAATTGACAAATATTGAAGCACTGTCAGAATTCTTCTGACAACTAGAAGAAGTTTCTTGAATCGAAATAAGTGAAATGTAGTGAATTTGGAAGTTTGCTTGAGATTCATCATGTAAGTATGTGACATGCAATTTATTTGATGTGATTATTGCTCGTTGTTATGTACTAGCTCACTTCCGTATCATGTACAGATTTAAGGAAAAGGCCAAGAAACAAAACAAACAACAAAAAGAAAACAAGCCCTCTAAGCTGGGGGATCGAGGTACCATATATAGTTTCACTCCCAATAATTTGATAACTAGAACTGACAATTAATCCCCCAAAAAAAAAAACAAAATTCAAAACAAGAACTTGAAAATATTCATAACAAGAACGATGCGATCAACTTCAACCACCAAAAAAAAAAAAAAGAAGAAGAAGAAAGCAAAAACAAAAGAATGATGCAATCACCATTCTGTATCAATTATGATGGGTAAACAAATGCATGTTCTTCGCACTCTTTGTTGCATGCACTCTTTCAATTATTGATCCAGAACTCCGGTAGCTGAATCCGTCACACATATGCACATCGGCCACATCGGGTGACGAAGCATGGATTTGTACGGTACTTAGGAGGGGCGGTGATGATGATCTAGGCGGCGGCGGACGGCCTAAAACCTGCAAGACAGAGCCTCGGGTATCTCCCGATGGTAGACTCTCCGATGCTTAAGTCAATAAGGGAATAGAGATAATAGAGAGAGAGAGATGTGTATCGTGTGTAGAAGGTGTAGAAGATAGGTAGAAGATATGAATTATGAGAGAGGCACCACCTCTTTATATAGAGGTGGTGTTACCTGCTTCCTGAAATCTAGTCGTATTAGGTTTAGGCGGTGACTTAATCTCCAAGTAACCTAATCCTAGGCCCAATAGGCCTAGGGTTAATTTATGACTCATCAAGTGCCCCTAGAAAGCCATATTCTTGAGACTTGATGAGAAGAATATGGGTTGCTACGAGTGTTGTGTTTCCTCGAGTTTCGTAGTGTTGCCCCAATTCTCAAACTCTTTCGTTCTCGGGTATCACCTATATAAGTTAAAGAGAATAGAATGCCTCGATGAGGTCTTATTGTCAGAGAGTTCCTTGTTTGCGCGATGGACCGTGAATATCCTTGTTTGCGTGGTGGACCCCGAGTATCCTTGTTTGCGCGGTGGATCAGGAGTATCCTTATTTGCGCGGTGGACCGCGAGTGTCTTTGTTTGCGTGGTGGACCGAGAGTATCCTTGTTTGCGCGGTGGACCGCGACTGTGTAGATCAATTGAGATGTAATACAAGATAATAATGACATATGATCCCTCAAATTTCTTGCCCCAAGGGTATGTCGCCGTTTGTGCCCCAGAGTACGTTGTCCTCGTTGAAGGGTGATAGGGTTTTACCGCGAGAGGGTTGGTAATTTGAAGAACTCCTTTAATCGTGCTCAAAAAGATATCGTGACATGGTAGTAATATGATAATGATATCACAGTAGATTGATTTAGATTCGAGAAATATATTAAAAAAGGTTTGAGAAGTACCTCTGTATCGAGATAAATTGATTACTCGAGAAGGTGTTACCTCGATTCTGAGAAGGTATTATTGGAGTAGATGAAAGTCGAGATACGTCTTCTCGAATATTTCGAGTAGTAGTAAGATGCTCGAGAGATACTTGCTCCTTCGAGGAGATGTATCTTCTCGAACACTTCATGTAGTAATATGATGCTCGAGGGATTGTTGCCCCTTCGAGGAGATGTATCTCTCGAAACTCCAATCCTCGAGATTGCCCCTTGCTAATTGTTCTTCTCGATCAGCTGTGGAGCAAGTGCAGCTCCTCGATTATTTGTGCAATCGAAAGCTTCTTTGTGCTACTTGTCGGCTGACATCTTCTTGGCAAAACAAAGATAATTTTTTGCGTGATCTTCTTCTTGCAAATTCGGAACAATGAATTAACACCGTGGCTGCGAAAGATATAAAAGATTCCGTGCTTCGCTAAGAAATTTATTTGGTTGTAAGGACCAAACAAATCGGTCCCACCGGACGTGCCACTTGACGAAGCATGTATTTGTACGGTGCTTAGGACGGGCGGTGATGATGATCTAGGCGGCGGTGGACGGCCTAAAACCTGCAAGACAGAGCCTCGGGTGTCTCCCGAGGGTAGACTCTCCGATACTTAAGTCAATAAGGGAATAGAGATAATAGAGAGAGAGGGATGTTTATCGTGTGTAGAAGGTGTAGAAGATAGGTAGAAGATATGAATTATGAGAGAGGCACCACCTCTTTATATAGAGGTGGTGTTACCTATTTCCTGAAACCTAGTCGTATTAGGTTTAGGCGGTGACTTAATATCCAAGTAACCTAATCCTAGGCCCAATAGGCCTAGGGTTAATTTATGACTCGTCATCGAGCATCCGTTTTCGCATTGTAGAAGTTTTCGGCCAACATAAGCCTTATTATGATCATCGGAGTTGCCCATCGAACCAACCACATCGCCGCACCAGAAAGCCAGAAGCAGTACGATAACTACTACTGCCAAGGTAAAAGCCATTTGGATTTTGGCCATTATATCTGCAACTAGTCTGCTTTTTCCTCCTTTTTCTTGTTTTACTTGTTCTTGAAGTTTTTGTTGGTGGAAGGACTCAACGAAGTGGTGGTATTGCCAGAAGTTCTTTAGGCTGCAATTTATAGGTGGATTAGCTTTTTTTTTTCCAGGCGGGTGGGGGGTGGGGAGTGCACAAAGTAAGATTAAAAAAAATACATATATATTTGTTTATGTTATGAAATATTTGATATGATTTGATGGAATATCCACAATTAATATATATTATTCTATTCACAATCAATGAGATATGATTCTGTAATATTTAACATTAATGATAGGTGATTCGTTTCCCACAGTTTGATCCCCTACTTCTTATATAAATAGGGACCTTATTCATGTTTCAAAAGATCATCTGAATACAAGTCTCTTATCTCTCTACTCTCTTGTCTCTCTTCTTTGTTCTTATGCTTAGTTTCATATTAGTAGTCTAGCATTAATTTTATACCATGTTATCAGCACGAAGTTCTAGCCAAAGAGTTTTATAATACCACTGCCTGAAGTTGGTGTGTATTAATATTAAAATCCTAAAGTTTTCAGTAAATAATTAGTTTTTGTGACTGAAACTTTTCTGGAGCTTTGCTTCCACCCGACGACTCCGAGGTATAATCAATTTTTTTGGAGTCGTTCAAATTTGTGTGGTTATTATACTCTCGGTCTGCTCTGTTTCGTTCGGTCTATATTAGGCCTTGTGCGAATTACCAGTTTATGTATTAGGCCTTTGCTTCATTGATTTCTTTTTAGCATGATCAGTTTGCATGAATTAATGTTGTCGAATCATTACTCCTTTATTAGTTTTTATTTTTACTTGAATTAATGTTGTATATTATGCATATCAAAACATAGTGGGAAATCAAGACAAATTGATTTATCCATGTGCATACTTGAGTCAGTATTGGTTTTTATTTGTTTTGTGCGGCTTGTTTTGTCCACTATTTGCCTCTTATACACGAATTTAGCGTTATGGTCTTTTATTGTCTTTATTGGTTGTCTTCATCTGTTATTAAATCTTTGCCATATTTAGTAGTTTATTGGTTGTTTTCATGAAATTTATCACCCTTAATTGGAAATTTCTCACTTCCTAAAGCAAGTGAACAATTAATATATATAATTTTTCACCCAAAGTGAAAGATTAAAAATAACATAATAAAATTACTCCTGAAGTAGCAATGTTACAATAATCCCTCCAGTTGTAGTATTATAGCGAAATATTTGATGAAATCTTAGGAATTGATTTCATTCCATTCCCTGAAGTGAGTGGGCAGTAAATTATTTCGAGACAAATTGTAGACATTAAATCTATAATAATTATGTATATATACAATTCTTCACCTGAAGTTGGAGAATTAATTTGAAGACATGTTCAATTTAGACATGGTCCATTTCCTAAAGTAAATGTGACGATCATACAATAATGATAGTGGCGATTCTGACAAATACACTATTAACCACCTGAAGTTGGAAAATAATGAAAACACTACTATCAATCTGAATTTGAAAAGTAGTATATTGCAAATGCTATCGTTGTGGCATAGAAAACCATTGGGTTCACATGTTATGTATACCCAAAATTATCTTATTGATATCTTCAATATATTATTGAAAGTAGATGAATTCATTAGTCCTATCGATAATGAATTAACAAATCATAATTTGATTTTTATTAATCGCCCTGAAGATGATACTAGTCAATGATAAACACTAAACAATTAGATGCTCCAATAGAGTATATGACATTGAATTATTTTGTAAAGATAGATGAAAACTTCAGTAGAGTATAATTACTCCGGAGAGTGAAAACAAATAAATGCTCCTGAAGAGCAAATATAATGAATTCATCATTGACTCTGGAAGAGCAATAGCAAACAAACTTTGCTCCTAAAAGAGCAAGAGAATGTTAGAACGAGAAAGTGCATTGAAACATTATAGTCTCCAAGGTATCAAAGAAGGATATAAATTGCTCCACCAACACAATTATTTTGAATTTAAAAATTCATTGTTGTCTCCACCAGAGCAACGATACTTTATTTTTAAAAGAGTAAGAACACTATG